CTTCAACATATTAGATTTTGCAGACTACCTTGTTGTCAACACAACGGCATAGCACCAGATCCCAACAGCATACAACCAGCCAGCACGTAATTTCTTTGGAAAAGAGTTTCTCATCAGCCTCCGACTGATGCTCTTTTCACAACCACAATGTCGGCCTAAAACACACAGGTAATGAAAACGCAGACACTCCTGCACACACCAAATGACTCCTTGTGTTCACTGACGGTGTGCAAATGATGCTTCCTCCTTTTCTCTCTTAATAGCCTCTATTGTTGGTATTGTGTGGGACGGAGACACTGATTTGCCACGGCTGGTATAATTCTCTCATTATGAGTTCAGAAGGGGGAAAGAGGCACTGGAAGGGCTGGAGAGAACGAGGGATGAAGGCCCAGAGGCACAGTTTGCCACAAAGAGCAGAACCCAACTTATAATGGAGCAAATCCATCAGTCTCTCTCTCTCTCTCTCTCTCCCTCATCTTTTTCTGTCTCACGTCATCCATCCACAGGCCTTACCACGCTTTAGAAGGAAGTTATTTCAGAAAAGCTCGGAGAGAAAAGTGGCTCTGAAGAAATGCAAAGACGGAAAATGGAATACAAGCAGTCTTACCCCCGCCATAATGCCATGCAATCTGGCAGGGGGGAGGGAGACGGATAGCGAGGCTGAAAAGAAGGGCAGAGAGAAAGAGGAATGAAGCAGGGGAGGGGGAAAAAAAAGAGGACAACGAGAAGCAGACATTTAGGGACACACAGTGTGAGAGGTGGTGGGAAGATCAGCCTTTCCTCCTCTCTGGATGGGTTTAGCAGCAGCATAGAGCTGTTAGCGTGCTTATTTTCAACCACAAGGTTGCTGTGACCTAACTTCGGCTGCGGCTTCTGAAATCCCATTCACACTCCAAGCCTCCCAAAAACCCTCCCTGGCTTCGGCTATGGCTCATTGCGCTCATCATTGGTTCAATTTTGCAAGCATACGAGTGTGTGGGACAATGAGGAAAAGAACTGAAGAAAAAAAAAAGCCATGCACTCGCTTAAGGGTATTTTAAAGGGACCCCTGCCCTCTCCTCATGATACTCTCAGGTCTTTAAGAATGTTGGCTCAGTGTTCAATCACCACAACAACCTCACCTTAACAACAATGACTCCAGTAACCTTGGCCATCCATTAGCCTGTCTGAGAACAAAAGCTGCTTCCACAGGGAGCCATTAGACGAATATAGCTCTGGGAAGGGAAGTATCCAATACACCAGATGGGCTGCGCTTTATACCAGCTCCAGGGCTGGACAGTAGTCTCTCAGAGACCATTTTTGAGAAAAAGAAATTAGGCTAAATCAGCACAACACATGGAAAATATTCTGTTTCGATGCTGGAGTCCATCCACAAACCCGCAACTGCAGGTGGACGCTCATTATTGCCCAAAGCCTGGTGGATAACTGCACATGCCAATGTACATCACATACTTAAAAACAAGTACTTTCATGTTTGGTTCATTTGAAAAACTGTGGGATTTTCTCGGGTAAAACATTATCTACCAGCCCTCAAGAAGGCATTGTTTTCTTTCATTGTTTGTTGAACAGTACATTCACACATGAAAGGCTCAAACTGGGGCCAGTTGGCAACATCCAGTGTTAGTGCAACATCAGTCCGTAATGAATTCTCTGAATGCTTTCATGAGAGCACAATTACAAAGCACCTGCGAGCCCTGCTGAATATAAAAGTTGTCAAACTGCAGGGAACTACTCACTTTCCCAACACTGTCCTGCAATTTAAATAAGAGCTACTTTCCACAGAGTGTTTTACCAGCACCAGTACCAGAAAATGCAAATCCAAAATAATTTTCATCGTGTGTTGAGAGGTAGATAGATTTATCATGGTGTGTCTATAAAGCTGAATAAAAAGCACTGACTCAAGTAACTGTGCAAGTGGGTTTTGAAGCTGTAAGTGACGGGAACAAGAGGAATTAAAACAGTGCATGTCATTCGCCTTCGTCATGCTTCTGTCCTGTCGGGACAATGGGGGGGGGAAAATTCCCATAAAAAGATGTCAGACAGCTCTGAGCTGGAGTCCTGAGTTGTGAATTTACATCTATTATGTATAAGTTGAGCAGAGTTGAGATTGGGAGCCAGCCAGTCTTGGCTATCAGTTAGAGCTAAGGATGTGTCACCTGTCTCTCCCTGTCCCATATGGTTTCCCTTGACTAACGTTACAGCTGTACCTGCTGGCTCCACAGCAGACAACAGCACTGTGTGTGTCTGTGTGTGTGCGCGCATACTGTTCTCTCTGACAAGTGTTTCTGTAAAGCATGAAGAAGTGTGTCCACTGTAGCTGCACTTGTTTCTACGTGTCCAACCAGCAATAACACAGGTTGCTGTAAATACCCGAGTATGTGTGTGTGTGTGTAGTCGTGTATCTGTGTATTACACGCAGTGAAAACCATATTTGTGTCAGTACAACTGTACGCATGTGTGTTTATCCATGTGTGCCAGTGTGTGTGTGTGTGTGTGTGTGTGTGTGTGTGTGTGTGAGTCTCTGTCTGTCTCCTGAAGCTGAACCAGGGGACTGAATGTCTGAGTGTGTGTGTTTGAGTCTCACACGGGGGAACCGGGGGACGGCTGCGGTGAGAGAGCTGAGGTGTAACACCTTGTTAATGTGACAGACACAGTAAAACAGTCACCGAGGGAATGAGCTGCCGTTGTCTACTTTGCTCGATAACTTGACAGATACAAGAAGAAGCAGCAGTTTGGTTTGTTAAGCCGCTCTCGAGTCCAGTTCCCAACACACCTCACTTAGATAAGTACCTGGCATAGAGCTCAGGAGCCACTATTTTGGTTAAGTGGAGTTGTTCTATTATCACTGGTGACTTGATTACAGGCTTCAAAGTGGCATAGACTGTAGTGGGAAGTGCATTCACTATTTTGGGGCCGCCTCAGGTCTGGAGAGCGTCTGCTGAGGCACAAAGGAGACACAGTTATGCTGAAGGAGTGACAACCTCTTCATCAGGGATGGAACAGAATACTGAAAACTTAATATTTTCTTTACTACATATTTTTTCTTGGCATCTGAGCACGGCATCATGGTGTAGACAACCCTTACCACGCTTTAGATGGAAGTCTTGTTCACTTCATCCCTATTACCAGAAGATATTTGAGGTAATCTTCAGGAAAAGGAGTGTTTAGAGCTAAACGTTAACATCAGTACTGTAAGACATTTCACAGGTATGGTTTACCAAGCTTGCTATCTAATGTTAGCATATTAGTATGCTAACGTGTTCTAAGTCCATCCATCCATTATCTGTACACCGCTTAATCCTCACTAGGGTTGCGGGGGGGCTGGAGCCTATGCAAACAGAGAGCAGCACGATCATGTGCATGTACTGGTGTCAGAACTAACTTTTGCATGTTAGGATTACACATGGCATGTTTGTATTACCACCGTTAAATATGAATTTGTAATTTTGTCATATGAGGTGTGTCAGAAAAGTTCCAGGACTGTATTGTAGTTGAAACATATCTTTCGTGACACCAGTCCTGGAACTTTTTTGACACAGCTCATATATCTGCAGAAGCAGCATCATGTCGAAGTCTGCAGTGATCTCTGTTTAACCCAGTGTTCATGACAAGGATTATGATGCTGAGTTGGGTCTATGGCTATGACCCATTTTTCAAACAGCGTATTTCACAGTGGAAGAGCCTTCAGTCTCCAAGACCAGAGAAGGTGCACCAGATCAGAAGCACGACTGAGAGGCTTCTTGGGCTTCTACTGCAATATTCCGACCCGTGAGGGAGACCGTTGAGCATAACTAACTGAACTGTGACATGATGATAAAGCAAACACAGCACAGACACAGATGGTATTTGATGGTCTTACAGAAAGGGAGTTTCAGAGAGAGTTCCAAGCGTGGCAGGAGCACTGCACAAGGTGGCTTCATCCAAGATAGGGTGTTTTGTTTTTATAGGCACAGACTCGGAACATTCTGATCGTATCTCGCATAGCTGAGGACAATAGGATTTTCTTGCTTGATTTAATTAATCGAATTGTCTTTAATTTTTAATCTTCCTTGTATGGCATTCAGATTTCCATGCAAACACAAAGACTGGTCTTTCTTAATCAGACTGGTGCTTATGCAGAAGCAGGATTAGTAAAACAATTTACAAAAATTAAATGGTCTAAAAACCATGTGGCTTCCAAGAAAAGACAGCCTGTGGCCGAGTTCAGAGACAGAGCAGATGTCACTTCCACATACCGAGTGTGTTTCCACAATTGCCATAGTCCACAAAAACAAAAACTAATTAAACTATTTATTAAACTGTAAACCAACCAACTGGCTCTGATGGCAGATTTTATTTTTTTATTTTTTTTTATAACCAAATGAACACTTCTAAAATTGGAACTGATGATGGTACTAGATTTAAAGTCAAAGGATCAGTAAAATTAATAGAATCGTGCACTGAATTTCATAGCTTCTCATTGTTGATAAGACAATTTAATCCAAACCGCATATGTCCACCTCGTTGTGGCCGCAGATGAAAAGCTGGGTGAGAACTACATTTCTGTATTTCAGAGTGGACTAAAGTGGTGGAGCGACCGACAAACTACCAAACAAACATTTCCAAAGCCAAGTGTTTTGTTTGACCACTTGACCAGAGTTGAGAGAACAAAACAATGAGAACAACAATGCTAATGACCGCTGATGATGAGCTGTTTATGCAAACATGAGCGAGTGCACAATTATTTCAGAGCTATCTCATTTGTTCTCACTTTTTTTTTGCTTTAATGAACTTTTAAATCTCTGCCCTGTTTCTGCCTTTGTGGTATTGTTTATTATTCTATTTTGAAAAAACCCAAAAACTCAGTAGTTTGTCCTCTGATACAGATTTCTCACTGTGACATACTATATATCAAGTATCAAAGTAAGTTTCAGTTCAGTCTGTCCTCATGAAATGACTGGATTTGCCTGGTAAGCAGAAGACAGCGCTCTGCAGAGAGGCATTAATGTGACGAAGTGTACCTGATAGACGTGGTAGGCGTTGGCAGCTCTGCCCTGCAGGAACACAGAGGGGATCCACACGTTGATGAGAGCGCGATGAGCCCTGAGTGACACAAACAAACCATCCTCACTGCTGTCATCATTATCATCATCATTATCGCTATCACTGGCAGCAGCAACACCAACAGTGTGTGAGCACTTTGCTTGGACAGCTACAGCCGATCACGGTTCACTCTGGTGAAACACCTCAAAATATAATTTGGTCATTTCATTGAGAAAGAATAACTTAGCCATCAGATATTTCACATGGATGAGATGTAGCTCTTGCAAGATGTAGTACAAAACATGAGGAATATAGTAATACAGAAGAAGTAAAGGAGACATATTCTTACGTCTCAAAATCTGACAGGCTAGGGTCATCCGACGTCTGGCTTAAATCACCTGGAACCTGGAAAAAATGAGTGAGAGGGAGATCGCTAGAGCGTGAGTAAGGAACAAAAGAGAGAGATTCATTACAGATGAAGTTCAAAGTCATGCACAAGAAGCTCAGGATACAAATACACACATGGTGTCCAAGATACCACAGATGTTAAGGGCCACTGCAGTTGTAAATGGAAAGAATCATTTAATTAATTAAAAATAATGTTTAAAATAATACTTTTATGAAGGAGGAACATATAGAATGGGTGCGATGCTATACAACAGTAAGTTTCCATTCACAATCACTAATAGCTGCAGTGAAACCTGATCATCATGTGTGACAGTTGAACATGTAAAATCTACCCATGATCCAGAATAGTTGGCAAAAAAGCAAAGAATAAATCATTGTAGTAACAAACAAAAAGTACTGGATGAACAGCTGAAATGCAGAATGTACAGTGGTTTACTTTTTGAAATGTTTAGACACATCATTGCATAAAGCATAAAGTAATTAATACAGAACTGGAATAGTCATCTTAAAGTGTCTTACAGTAACAGTTACAAAACAAAGTAAAATAAAAACAGAATAGTACGCTAAAAGTAATACAATATTGAATTTGCAATGATATCTAACAGTGTTTGGAAATAATTAATTGCATTTTCAAACTAATAACAAGTAACACACCAAAAGTAATGCAAAATTAGCCGAAATAACCTAAATATTGATTGCAACCAAATCTACTCTACTATTTTCTCAAGGTTGACTGAACAATTGGTGGGTTGATATGCTCTCATTCTCACCAAAGACTCATTGGCTGGTCAGTATTATTTTCATGAGGATGAAACGCCACATCAACAGCCTTTCGGGACTGATACATTATTTTTGGATGGAAAGACAAACTGAAAAATGGGGTGTTTTTAAAATCACTCTACAACCTTGAGCTCAGCTAACTTAACGGAGGCTGCTAGGTTGTTGAATATTTTTGAATAAGTCAAAGAAGTCATCAGTGTGGCTGCATTATGTTCTAAACAAAGGCCAAGATCATGGAAAAATGGTCAATTAACTTGTCTGCAATGGATTTCCCAATAGTAGTTGAGCACCAGTTGAAAGAGTTCTATTTTCAGAAATCAAATGAAAATTGGCATGATGGTCTAAATATAAAATAACAAGATTAAAGTGATCAGACATACAGCAAATATTATATATAATAATATGAAGAGTTCATTTGGAAACACAGATAACTCCATCTTCACAAACCTTCAGAAAACCCACTTTTCCATCGTCTACCTGAGACAATATCAATCAAACTTAAGTTCTCTCTATTTTTTTCATTTCTACTGAGTCAAATCCACTCAGCTTCAGTTTGATTGATATTATCTCACGCAAACAACAAAAAAATACATTTGCGCTATCTGTTATAAATGAACTCTTCACATGTTTATTTAGAATCTGTTTTGGCAAATACGACAAGCAGGCCAAGTGTGTTCAGTGCTCTTCAGTCGATTTAGTGAATCTAGAGATATCGTGTATTTTTGTCTCCCACGACCAATTGATTGGTTCAACAATAGGTATTATTATTATTATATTCAAGTAAGATTTTCTTCAGTTGTCTAGAACCAAAGAAAATCTTAAAGTTCACTTAAAAATTGATCAATTTTGAACTAATTCGAAATATAACGTGGTGTCAGAAAGAGGCTCATGAGCTATATGAATTCAATAAACAGTAAATGCGCAATATACTGTTTATTCACACTTAGTGCACATCTGGAACGCGCCCATGTCTCGATCCTCTTATTGCTGCTGACTATCAGCTGCTGTTACATACAGCAACACTGCAGGGTAGCAGCACTATCCTAATCTGATGACCTCGACAAAATTGTTAGCATGTTATGTCAATATGTGTGTGCGAATTCATCAAGCTTGTGATTTGTTTTACTGTTTACATGCTTCCAGGTCCCTTGAGGGGCCACATGACCAGGGCCAGATGTTGGCCTTGTGGATGAGAAAGGGTCTATGTGTGAAAGAGAGTGTGTGTGTGACTCATGTTGTAGGGAGCTAAATCTGTTTATACAGTCATGTAAATGGGACTTAACCTCATTTTGGGGGCATTAGCAAGTCTCATCATGACAATAATTGCATTTTAAGGTATGAAGACTTGGTTTAGGTTATAATAAGTTTGAGGATTTTAGTTGAGGTTAGAGTAAGTCACCAGGAAATGAATGTAAGTCAATGTAATGTTCTGTCTTCATACGGTTTCTCACTCTCCAGAGCTGGCCTGTCGGACTCCCAGCTCTCCCAGGGAGGCTATCTAAACCCGGGCTAAAACTCTGTCACCACAGACCCTGCAGTGGAGTTTCCAGCCTCCAGGCTTTGATCAAACCCTCCAAGAGTCACACACACACAGTCACCAACAGACACACAGAAAGTAATAGAAGAGCAGGTTGCAGAAAAAGAGGCGGTGAGGTAGAGAGGCAGGAAAGTGACCCAGGTTTGGTCATCTGCAGCAGCTCTTAGGAGTTGGAAGCATGCAGCAATCAGGGGCCAAGAGATGGACACACACACACACACAAACACATGCACAAACACCACACAGAGTGAGCAGTCCAGCAGAGCAGGGCTGAAGCTGAGGGATAAGAGGTCCTATCTTCAGCCCGGGGCTCCCTTCACTGCAGCTGTATCAACTCACACGGTGGGAAGCGTGCATGTGTGTGTTTGTGAGTGTGTGTGTGTGTGTGTGTGTGTCCAGACTGCTTCAAGCTCTCCTGAGCACGACCACAACCTGGCATTCTCTGTAGCTTTTTTTTTGTTTGGTATTGCAGAGGACAACTTTGAACCTACTGAGGAAAAGCAGACTGGTTGAACAACCCTTTAAACAGAAGAAACCGATAGCAGTACAGAAAATCAAACCTCACCCACAAAATGTGTAAGATATGAGTATAGGACTAACTGATTTATGTTATCGATACAAATTGTGGTGCAGAAGCATATTTGTGACTTCAAGGAGAGTGTGGTTAACCGTTATTGGTGGGTATTGAGGACAGGAGCAAAAGCAAACATGGAGATGAAAATCAAACAAAACCACAAGGTGGAGAGGCAAGAAAGTGGAAGGGAGGCAGAGAGAGAGGATAAATCAGATGAGGCATCATTGTGTGTGTGTGTGTGTGTCTCCAGTCACTCACCGGTCCTCTCAGGTCAATGAGTTCCTGTCTCATCTGGACAATGAGGTGGTCTTTGGCCATGAGGGAGCGATACAGGCGCTCATTAAACTCGATCAACTCACCGTGCATCTCGGCCACCTGCAGCACGCACACACACACATACACAGAGGGAGAAAACACACAAAAAGGGCATTTCAATTTTTCACGCTGTAGTACAAAAGTTATATAAGACGTAATTACGTGGAATAAAAAGGACGATATAAAATCATGTAAACATTATGCGTGAGAGCATTCAGAAACGCTAATTCCTGGTTTCGATTTAACACACAAAAGGCAAAAGCACTGCAGGTGTGACATAATGGATGCTGACAGCGGGACGGATTCTGGGAAACAGTCAAACAGAGAAGGGATGGAGGGATGGGGGGGGGGAGGGAGACAAACAGCGAGAGTGAAGGGGTGAAGCTAGTTCATATCCTATGCATTCAGACTCCTTCCAGCCTGATTTTCAATTGTCATCAGCGTTAACTAACCTTGACGTGGTGTTATTCACATCTGTGTGTGTGTGTGTGTGTGTGTGTGCGTGTTCATTTCCCAGCCTGTCTGCCTAACCAGGCCGGACAGTGTGGACAGGTCTCTGTCAGGAGACTGACAGCCATGACACACACTGTGCTGTATGGAGGACACCTGCTGTCACAGCCGCTTCTGCAGAGCGTCGCTGCCGGCTGACAGGTGAGCCGAGCAGCACTGTGGCTGCAGCACCGACCTTCGTACATTAACTTATCTGCATCCTCTTTAAGAGCCCACACGCTACCATGGTTCCTTACGTAACAACAACAACAACAACAGCGCTGATGATGGTATTAAACTTGAAGGCGAGTTCATTGAATATTTCACAATACAGCTTGGTGTCAAAGGAGATTTCTGTTTTCGTAGCATTCTACATGTAGAATTTTATATTACCATAATAATTTCATGGAAAAAGCACCAGAAAAAATTAAAATAAGAAAAAAAAATTCTTCAGTTTGGTTCATTTCAAATGAGAGGCTACATTGAAAGCAGCAGGAATTTAACATCACTATGTAACAGGCTGTCGGGGTAGATTTTATACCCGGTTATCACGGCCAAAGGATTTCATGATAACACTGTTCTCGCAATATCTAGACAAAATTTAAAGCAAAACATAATGCTTTCAGTCAGATTCATCTTTAACATTGTTTATTTTGTGTGTGTGTGTGTGTGTGTGTGGGGGGGGGGGGGTATGGATTACACTGAAAATGTGGGGACGTGGAGAGACTCTGTAATCAGAACTGTATGTTGTGTGTTGTGTTTGTGATTATTAGCTAACAACATTTGAACAGTGGGTGTAATGTCGGTTCGGCTGCAATCTGATCTACATTTTTCATTCTGTTTTTTAAAACCAGGTGGCATCCACTGAGGTTTGAGGCCTCTTCTACAATTGGTCATAGGATTTTACCTCTGGTTTTTTCACCTATACAAAAGACAAGCTCCATTTCTTTTAACTGTCCTATTATCTTTGGGCTCAATTTGACTCCATTCAGTTTTTACCATCTCTAAATAAGTCATTGACTCATTTTTTTCAGTTTTATTTAAAGGGTTATTTACACATAAACTTGGGTAGCAATTTTAATTATATTTTCTGGAGATTTAAATTGCTGGGGTCAAACTGAACCCAAGAATAAAAGATGTCAGTAAATTTGAAGGTATAAGTTATTATTTTTTCCTATTTTTTGGGCCCTTTCAGCACATATTTAGGATGCAGTTTTGGCCATTTGTCCACACACAAACACAGTTTTAGGTTACTGAAACCAGCTTTTGTACAGTTACTTTTTTATAACACTAAGGAACAGAGGCATCAGAATGAGTCCACACATTTAATTCCTGTCTTCCCAAATTGCTGCTAGCCAACCGGAACCAGTAATAGCTTTTTTTTTTTTCAGGCCTCTGACTGGCCATCACGACTGTGGGGTTCGGGTTGCATCACCACCTGCTGTTTTGATATGCTCAACAGCAATTTAATTGTATTGTTGCATATTCATGTAGAGAAATAGATGTGCATGTGTGAACAGGGGCAATTCCTCCCAAACATCTCTCCACTCATCACCTGGCAACCTCATGGTGCTGACAATACAGGGAGTAAACGCTGCCAGCCAAGAAATAGTCCCACACACCAACGCCTGAAAAACCTGTTGCAAGACTTTGTCAATTTTACAGATTAAACAAAAAATATACAACATGCTAATTAGTTTCAGCTGGTAGATGGATTTTCTTTCTTTCTGCTCATGCTGCATGTACACTGAAACACGTCACTGCGATAAGAGTTGCCCTAAGGAGAACTTTGAAATACACCCTTATTTGAACCATATAATGACTGTGTTCTTTGTCTGCCATCTTTTATACTAGAGCCCCATAAAGGCCTCCCCTCTCCACATGCCCCATGAGACTGTAATCAAAGGCGAGAACTCAAATTAACTAAATTACACACATGATTTTTTGGAATCGAAATGATAATTTAGCAAATCAAAAAAACTGCAGTTTGTCATAAAGTCAACAATATACTGGTGTTTTCTTGTGCATGCTGCTCACTAGAGTACATCTCTTGTCTCTCACAGTATACATCACCAGCACAAGCATGCCTGGTACCTTGGCATATTTCAGTTCTTCCAAGGAAGCAAAAAAGTATTAAAAGCGGTGTAAAATCACCACAAGTCTGTCCATGTTGAGAGCTGCAGCTATGCCAATGTATCAAATCTACCTACGAGGTGTGTCCGAAAACTTCCAGGACTGGTGTCACGAAAGTTATATTTAAAATCCAAACTACAAACTACCAGTTTTCTCCTTCCAAGTAATCCTCCTGGAGTCTAACACACTTTCCCAGCCTTCTCTGCCACGCTGCCATGCACTCCTGGAAGGATTCTTCCGGGATCCTCCACAGTTCCATCGTCATAGCCATCTTGATGTCATCCACGTCTTCAAAACGGGTCCCCTTGATGACCCCCTTGAGCTTGGGGAAGAGGAACAAATTCCACGGAGCCACGTGGGGTGAGTAGGGAGGTTGCTCCAGCACGGCGATGTTCTTCTCAGCCAGGAACTGTGGGATGCTCAGAGCATTGTGAGCAGACGCGTTGTCATGGTGAAGCAGCCACGACTTGTCCTGCCACAACTCTGACCTCTTCTCGCACAGTGAAAAAGGCAAACGCCGCAGGATCTCTTTGTAGACGTGCTGGTTGATCGTCTGAAGGGGAAAACTTGTAGTTTGTAGTTTGGGTTTGTAGTATATCTTTTGTGACGCCAGTCCTGGAACTTTTCTGACATACCTCATATGTCAATTTCTAGCGTCTCTGAGTTGCTTGGAGAGAGAGAAAGCTCGGATAGCATCACTAATGCAACTTTGGGGTGTTTGTATTCTAAGTCTCTCATTATGAATCTTCACAGTCTCGTAGAGTTTTAAGACAAACTGAAACACTAAAACAAAAAAATATCTGTCTCTCGAAATTGACTACATATTTTTTCCATGAGCCACACCAGAAGGAGCGGGACTTCATCTCTCCATTAGTAGGTGATCTCTTCACATCTGTCTGACAGACAGACAGGACAACTACAGCAACCAAAACCTGTTTTAAAGTTCCCCTGCTGCATGGACATGCGAGTATTGTTGTGAGACAGACTGTAAAAGTGTGAACTTCTCCTTTAGGGTGGATTACAGTCACGGCTGTGAGGTCAGGGAATCACTAATGCCCTCCAGAGGTGATCCTGCACTCTAGTTTCATGGGAATACATTTAATAAATGTTCTGAAATTTTATAAAAGTTGACTGGTTGGTTACCATGGCAACCGCATCACAAAAATACAGAAAGCAGCGCTGCAGTAACAGTAGATGTGCGGCCTGCCTCTGGGACAAATAACAACAAATCTGTCTCCTTGATCTTCACATTTAAACGCCTTCCACTGGGCCAAGCTGAAATTTTCAGAGGCAATGTGATGAAGAGATCTGGGAGCATAATTTAGACAGATAAAAAAAAAACTGACAGTAAAAGCTGGCATTACGATAACTGCACATGCTATACATAACAAAAAACGTAAGATGTAAGGAGTTATATAAAAGATGGTGCACATTTATCAAGCTTAAGCGCCTCAGGCAAGGTATTCAGTAGCTATAATGGTGGCCCTGATTGCAAAAGACTATACAGATTTGGTCCTGATTGTCGGCTGCAGCATTCATCACCACACAGCAAGGACGCTCTGAATCAGGAGGTCTGCTGTATGTTTAGCTTTAAATGTGAAAAGTCCTGAAACCTTTTCATATTGCGATTACTTGTCACTACATTGTTAATGTCTATATTTAATCCAAAGTAAAAGGTGTAAAAAAGAGTTTTTAGGCAGGCAAATAAATTCAGGTGTTAGATTTTTATTACAAGAACCCCAAAAAAAGCTTGATAGGACTGTGAAAGAACGCTAAATCAATTTTAAATTACAATAATTATGAGTTCAAGCGGCAGAGCAACATTGTAGACTTCACCCATTGTGATGCATCAAATGACTACGGTACAGAAGCACTTACATTAAATATCATTCCCCACATAACAGTAACATCCACCATTGTCTACAAAACCAGACATGTAATTGGATGCTCCCGAAATCGGTACGCTTAGAAATCCTTCTATTTCAACAAAAGCTGCTATAAAGAAGGAAAGTTTCACCGAAGAGGCTCTGCTTTGATTTGTGTGTCTGCCTGCCTTTGTTTCTCAATATTACTGTTTAACTGTAGCTCAGAAGTTACGAAGTGAATGCCAATGTGTGTGTCCTCGGGCAGGCTGTTAAATCTCTGCACTGTCAAGTACAACCTGAGCGCTACAGGCGATAATCCATCCGTAGCAGAAAATAAACAAGCTGCAACAAGTCCGGGGGCTCTCGTAGGCCTTTAGTCCCTGCAGCTGATTTGAGCAATGATCATTCAGCACTTGTTGAAAAAAAAAAAAAGAAAGAAAAACGCTGCAAGTATCCTTTTTATTTATTAGCAAAAAAAATATGAAAAACAACAAACTTATTTTACTTTAAGGAATGCTCATCAGAAATCTGGGCAGCGTTCAGATGATTTGAGCTCAGTTGATCCTCCACTTT